TCCTTAAATTTTTGTGAGTTTGCCAAATAAATAAACGAATTGATGAAATCAGAAGCGAGAAAACATATGCTAAAAATGCTTGTGCTGAAAAATACGTCAAAATAAAAGATTATGTCCATAAAATGACACTTATGATCGATTATGCACATTTGTAAAATATTCCGAAAACTTTTGTCTCGCTCCAACAGTCAACAAATAGCCACAAAATTAACATGACAAATTCGTGAAAAAAGGTAGACTAAAGAGAAAGGTTGCGTTGACTAAAGAGAAATGTCACGTTAATTCTACGGTTGTTTATCGTTTGTTAGGACAAAAGGATCATTTTCGATGTATTTTACGAATGCGGTCATCCAGTGAAAAATGACTTATCGATCGACGTCGATCAATAAGTCATTTCTCACTGGGCAATCGATCCCAAGGATCATTTTATCGATATATCCCTTTATTTCAGCGTATTTCGCAAGAATTTTCATGCATGCATGGTTTTCTCGCTTTTACTGTCATCGTCCTAAAGAGGTGAGAGACCAGGAGCCTTAATGTAAGTCATAAAGTGGCAGAGACTTGGCCATGCTGAATATTATATCGCGCGATATTTCGAGCCGGCTGTTTATTCAAACGCTATGTTAATACCGTACTGCGTTAGCGTGTCGCTTTATAAGCTTTCGTCGCGGAGAATCGCGGCGATTCTCCGATCATTAAGTCCGTCGTAAACGTTCGGGATGTGTTCCGGCGTATAATTTCGCGTTCAGACGTTGCGCGGGTAAGATTTATGCGACACAATATCTTTCTATGCCTCCCTCCGCCGCAAGAGAGAGAAAGAGAGAGGAGAAGGGGATGGTGGAAAGATAAGGTCATACGCATATTACATCACCGAGTGAGTTAAGGGACCGTTGCTCACTGTCAAAGGATTCCAGAAGTTTAATTAATTCCTGAGAAGTGGGCCACGTCATCCGACGATTCGACTAAATCATTTTTATTCAGATATTCGCGGGGAGACTGGGGAGATCGATAGACGCTGGTATGCCGCTTCAAACGTTACATATTTGAGCATGGTAGACTTCGAACCTCTAACGCAACTATAAAAATGCTCCGAGAGGTAAAGATACTCGCAAACTCGATGTTTCCGTGTAAAAGATGAGATTTCAAATTTTATGGATAACAGTTGGCTTTAATTATTGTTACGTTATCATGAATATTTCTAATATTCTACACGATACACTTAGTTACCGTGCAAATTTCACAACTCATCATTTCATCTATACACGGAGAGAATATTGTAATAAAAATTACAATACAATTTTAGTAATGTGGAAATAAACTGACACGATAAAAATTATAATAAGGCATAGTAAAAGTGACCATGAATTTAGCAGAAATTACCATAAATGTATTAAAAATTATTATGTTTACTACTTTTACTATGTTTTATTATAATTTTCGTAATAGTGCTATTCCGCCTACTAAAATTGCATTATAATTTTTACTAAAATATTTTCCGTGTATATTTTGAGACATCGATTTTACGTTTAATTTTAAAATTCTATAGACAGATAAGATCTATAAGATATATATGATACTTCCGAATTCGTTAATTAAACGAATGTTAACAACGGCACAAATGGGTGAGCGCGCGCTGTTCGGACTGTATGCCGTGTAAACGTAGAGCGTGAAAACTGCGGCGAACGTAGCCAATGTAAATACAGTGTTTGGTATCCTGCGAACGGACAGAAAACAACCCTCGTGAGAGAGGAACGTTATTCTGTATTCAACGACTCGATGTAACTTTATAGACAAACCTAAGCGATTCGATGCGAGTTCTCTACACGGAAAAAAAATTAGTTGAATTAATCTAAATTTGGAACACTTTAAAACCAGATTGTTTGGTAAGAAATGAACGAACCATAAACTTTGGTAATTAAGATAACCAGACAATTTCTGGTTACATGTGTTAAAGTAACCAGATAAATGTGGTTACAGTAATATAAAAATATACATTCACATCTCTTATTATAAAATTTTATTATTTTCTCAACTGAAAGCTCTTTCTTAAAATGTTGATTATTTTGCTTGAAATTAACTATTTTATTGATTCAATATTATATTGGTATGTTAAAAACTCGCCTTTATCCTGGTGAGACTTGAACCCCCGGATTGTGAATCTACGTCACTTATAACGTCACTTCTCCAATTGATAGATTTGTTAGGTATTGTTCATCTATGTTGTGACCAATATTCTGTACACATTTACGAGCGAATGTCGGTTTGATCGTTGCGCAGTATAATCATATCACAAAATAATTGCGCAACGACACTTACTAAATCGACAGCTCTCGGTTCTGCACGTATGTACAGAATACTAACCCAGCGTTGCATATCAGAATATATGAGTATAATAACCAAAAGTTCTGTTTAGTTCAATCAACAGTTGTTTGACCAAACATTAATCACGTTAATCCAAGTATGCTCTGTCTATTCGCGTGTAGTCCCAAACACTTGAATGTTATTACTACATACACCGGTAACCAAACTCTGACTGATATTATGACTGAATATTCTGGTTGCATAGCATACAGAATATCTCGTTGTGGTAACCAGAAAGTTTGTTTGTCTTCACCAAAACTTGCTTAATCAAACACGTCACGTTAATTCAACTAGGCTCTTTCTTCCGTGCGACAATAAATACAGAGTTTTATTTTGCATTTTCTCCCCCGCGCATTTCGCGCTGAAAATGAGAAATGTACTCATCCTCCACACGCGAAAAGCATAAAAAGTACCTCTTGACTCATCAAGACGTTCGATCGCGGCCGAATCCCCTGAAAATCGACGAAATTGACGTCTCACTTTCGTCCCTCTACTCGTCAAGCTCCGGATCCCTCATCGATGGCTGACTCCGCCGAGCCGCCTTCTCGCGTTCTTCCGATCTCGTCGCAGTTTGTAACGAGGAGTTTTCCGCACCATCTGGCACTTCCGATTTTATCGCCTCGGAATCGACAGTCTGATACTCGACCGGCTTTGTGGGAACATACGGGACGTTTCGAACGACGAGTCTTTTCCTACGTCCTTCTGACCGTCCAATTCTGATGTCAGTGTAAATCTAGCGTCAGAATTTATCGCGTATGATCGACACTTCGTCGATAGCCAGATTCCTGTCGGAACACGCGAGATTCTGATGGTACTCGAATTTATTTCCGAACGATTTTCTACCGACAAGAACTCGGCGATGCGCTTTCTCGCAATTTCTCCGAATTTAATCCCCGAAGTTACGTTATTTACCGACCGACCGACCCGGAATACCCTCCGTATTCAACTCGAGAGAGGAATTTAATCGGTAGCTCTGGTACTCTTTGCGGAATCCCGCTTCGAAATTCGCCGGCCGATCGCACGAGCGAGCAGCGTCCAGAATCGTCCAGCAGATAATCGACGGATAGACCGCGATCGACCTGCATAAGTACGGGGAAATTTCGGTCTGTGGCTGTTATCTCGTCCTGGATTTAACCCTCGTCATCGGCCGCCAACGAGGACGGTCGCAAGACGACGTCATCTAAGGTAAACGCTTCTTTCCCGACGAAGCCGCTTTCAGCAGCAACGCTCGCATCGATCGAAGCCGCCTCGTGTCGCCTCTCTCAGCTGGATCTCTCATGCTCCCCGATCTTCTCATCGAGATATAATGGCGTGGGAGACAGCGGAAAGTTTGTTCGGGACGACTTGGTCGGTGCGTTCCTTCTGGTTTCTTTCCTCTTCTCACTCGTTTCGAAGCGGAGAGCGACCCAGAATCGCCAATTGGGACGCCCTTAATTACTCGAGTAGTTGGCAAATTTACCCGAGCGACTCGCCCCCCCTCCCCCTTTAATCCGCCGCTAAGTAGAAAGGGTATTTCTTTCGTATCTGCTTGTTTTTGCGAGGGCTCGGCCGGCCTGAATCGACTCCGCGTGCATCAAATCGGCTTTGGACGAGGATGTAATTAGGGCCACGGAGGAAGCAAAATGACGCCGGCGCCGGAAAGTATCGAGGGGACACTGATGCAAGACGAAGAACCTCTCGCGAGCTAGGGAAGTAAACAGTTAAGATAGAGTGAGAGAGAGAGAGAGAGAGAGAGAGAGAGAGAGAGAGAGAGAGAGAGAGAG